ATTTTAAACCCCTGTGGATTTAACATGTAAGATCAAAGATGAAGTCATTACAAATAGCTTTTGGGAGAACTCGAAGTCAAACCTAAGCCTTTGATTTAGAATTCTTGCTTATTTTACTCTATCCAGAACTTGGGAAAATCCCTACTTCCATAATTTTATACATAGAAGCTTCCAAAATGATCCTGCAACTTTGAAATGCAAAAGTCTCTATAGAACATCCTATCCTACTACAGATAAATCTTGTCTCATGAATCCCCTGGCCATGGAGTATAAGAAGCAGACCTGTTTTGTCTAAAATCTGAATCAAATGCAGGTAAAATTCAGCGTATATATGACTTAGAGCCACCTGCCACGTTTGCCAAGGATGTTAGGATCTATATCCATTTGGATAGTTGCATTACTGGAGTTGACATCATCATCTGATTAGGCTTTTAGATATTCATTGTCATTCTTGAAGACCCATTCTCTTTCTACCCAGGTCAATTTAGAAAAGCAGGTGGAAATGTGATAGGAATTACTTTCTTTACATCACTCAAGTTCTTCAATGGAAGTGAATTCCATTTTATCTTGGACATCCATATTAATCAATTCATCCTGTTCTAAAATTGTGTTCTTTCTTCCTTGGAATCCATTCCCATTCATCTCTTCCTCTCTCTCTTGCTTATATAATTTATATTTATATATAAATATAATTTATATATATAATATTATATATATATAATATTATATAATTTAGCAAGTTCCATATTTCTTTTAGTTGTAAAATTGCTTTTCCCAGGTTTGATACTGTGTTGCCCCCCACTCTAGGGCAAGCTGGTTTAGGACCAGAGCTATAAGCCTAATCGCCTTCTGTTATGTGATTGGAACTCTACCCTTGGAATCACTCAAAACTACTGCATCTAGACCCTGTGTATTGCCCCCCTCAGGAGCATCTGACCCGTTTGGGTTTTATAGGGGACTCCCACCAAGACATGCATTAGATTGAATGCCTTATACCCAGAAGATGACTAATATTTACCACATTTTATAGGTGGAGAAATTCAAGCAAATGGGAAGTTCTTATTAACTTTGTATCTTCATTCTGGTCATGTGTGTTTTTATCAGTTCCTTTAAAACGACTTCTCTCTCAAGACTGTCACCAAATATGTGACTATAAAAATAAATAGTGTCTAGTTTATTTAAGATAGGCTGAGTAGTTCTAACAAAAGCCTACATTTTATATGAAGTATGCAGGGACTTTCTTCCATTCTCTCAGTCTGCAGTAGTAATGAAATCTGTAGCTAAAAATTTCACAGAACAGGAACTTAGTGGTTATGGTGGCAATGCATATTTTGGGAGGTAGTGGATGGCTATGGTACTGAGAATGTTCCAGTCAGTTTGGAAATAGAACATTTAAATATATATTAGAAATATAATAAAAATTTATTATGGTCCTAGAAAGTTTTACCATAATGATGATAAAATAGATCGTATTTCATTTTGTTATAAAATAAAGTTATTTATTAAGACAATCATACTATTTCTTGAAAATACAGTTTTAAAAAGTAATCACTTAACATGGGATTCTTTGCTGTGACCAAATCTTCATGTACTAGTTGTTATTTTCGCAAATTATCTTTTTAATATCATATATGATCAAGTATAAGGCAACATCATTTCCCAAATTATACGTTAAAAAAGAGATGTTTATCTTACACTGGTGTCATTATAAATCTCTAATAATGGGACATTCATGAAAGTAATTTGATCAAAAGGGTATTTTGGGGAAAAATATTCTTGCCTGAAATTACGTTGATTAATTTTAATCTGGACGCTTGGAAAAATTACCTGATAATTGGTTAAAAGGCTGGCAAAAAAAATTAAGAAAGATTCAATTATTCCTGAGTATATGACATCATTATTTGAGCTGTTTGCAGATAAAAAATAGCAAAGGTTGTGAAGAAAAACACTGTTTTTTGATCACATGTTTGGGGAAAATGAAGAAATTATTGTATATTTGCTTATACTTACATGGTAGGCACATAAAGCCTTTTATTTTGTAGCTCATTATAAAGCTAACATTAAGCAAATATGTGTCTATACATGTGCATGTATAAGACTATACTTATGTTTATACATATAATTATATATATTGATATATGACTATATTTATGTGTATATATGTGTTGTTACATTCTTTCCTATTTGTTTTATTAAAATGGATTTGTTTGTCCTTAATCAATTTGATACATGAATTAAATAATTTTGTAATCATAGCTCTGTTCATAATTATACTTATAGCATTTTTTTGTTAATAAAGGGACCTGATACTATTTATATACAGAAATATGGCTTACCCACTCTACTGTGGCTTCTTTGCACGTCAAGGCATGCTTAAAGGCTATATGAAAGCATTACTCATGAAACCATTTGGTCCTTTCCCATTCAAGAGTCCTTTAACATAGAAAGAAAGAACTAGACTGAGTTACAGTAATTTCTATGTAAGGTCCCCCACATCCTAAGAAACTGAGACAAAATGAAGTTAGAAGTGGAAGGTTAAGAACACCATGGAGAGTAGATGTGCTACCGATAATTATGCGAACAAGTCCACTTTGAGGCCTAATATAGGTCTTCATGTGTTATGTCTGTAGAGTTATTTGCTAGTAGAAATTCACTTAAGCACATGTATTTCTTGAACTTGCATCTTGAAAAGTAGTTAGCAAAACTAGCATGACCTGGGTGTCCAGTCTTGTGACTTTTAGTCATGCCGTGGGATTTCCTCAAACTGGGGAGGGGTTGATTTTTATTTGTGATTAGACAGACTTTATATGAACTGCAAACCAGCAGAGGGAGGAGGCAACCCCGTGCATGACTCCTTGGCAAAGCCTACTCTGCCACCCTTCACAAGTCACCTAACTCACCCTTCAACAGAAAGGTGAGTTAGGTAACTTCTGATCTATCAGTGTGAGGTTCAAGTGCATAGACACGATGCCAATTTTTAAGGGTACTGGGAAGGAATGAAAGTCAGTATCTTGCCCAGAAAGTTTAATCAGTGGCTCGTGTTACCAAGGGCAAGAGAGAAAAAACCAAAGCTATTTGTTGCTTACAGCTTTAAAATCCTCATTTTCTCTTAGAGCACCTTATATTTTTCTTTTCTGTTCTTCACTTTATTTCCCCAGGCCTAGCAGAGTATCAGGCACACCTAACTTAATGACTGTGAGACCCTCTCAACTCTGTCAGGCTGTACCCTAAATTTACTTTCTCCACTGCTAACAGTTTTTCTGCAAAAATACATACACATACTTTAGTAATTTGTAATGTTGCCTTTATTAAAATGTTTTGTTTCCTTCTGTTTAAGACTACTTCAATATTAATTTTATTTTGATTGAGATGATATATCTTATAAGTTTTTTAAATTATGTTCAGTTAGCCACTGCATCACATAGTTTTTTTAAAAAACGGTGGTAACTCCTTATAAACCAGCATAGCTCTCCCCCTAAGCACCCAGTCTCAATCCCCACAGTAAAACATTTTAGTCACCTTTTTCATCGTACTTACATATTTCCGAATGGTTTTCTTATTCTGCTGTTTCTTTACTTAGCAATTTTGCACATTGTTTACTGACGGGCTGTTATAATGGTTGAAGATTTAGTTGTCTTATATATGTACATGGATCGTCTTTCCTTATCTCCACCCTCTACATATATTTTGGGAGGAAATGCATGTTTTCCTGAAATGACATCAATGTTAGTTTGGATGCTTGGGAAATTACCTGATAATTGGTTAAGAGGCAGGCAAAGGAAACCAAGAAAGATTTAATTGTTAATAATTGTTTAATTATTGCTCACATCATAGTTTACGGTTCCTCTCTTGTCAGCGTTCCCATTTTTCTGATTATATCCACATCTGAACAGAGTTGTATATTATCACATGTTTCTTTTCTCTCATAGCATTTTCTCCCCACTGGAGTTAGTCATATCCTTTTTCAAATGTGTTTAGTAAACTGTATCTACTGTAAGTTATTCACAAATGTCCCCAAATGATCTTTCAGTAATAGTCAGAACAGTCTAACTGCTGTAACAAATGAGCCTCCAAGTCTCAGTGGCTTTATACGGTGTACGTTGATTTCTTGCTCATGTCATGGTCCAATGTGTGGCAGTGAGGCCTTCTATGCCACACAATCATTCAGAGCTACACAGTTCTTCTACTATCTTGGGGCTCTCATGTCTTCTAAAGCCTCAGAACTCTTTATTGAGTATTGTGTCTGGATACCAAGGAAAAGGGAAAGCATAGAGGATCTCCTAAGTTACTTTATGGGAAAGGCCTGCAAATAGTGTATATCATGGTTACCCACATGCCAGGGGCTAGAACTCAATTATATGTCTCTCTACCTGCAGAAGGTTAAGAAATGAAATCTGGTGGGGGTGCTCAGGAGAAAGAGCACATGGGCTCAGATGAGGATTTCCAGTCTCAGCACATACACATTTATCAATTTTTCAAATGCATATGTACATCAAATAATTCTAATTTTTTTCCTTCATCCCCCTCCCTCCCTCCCCCTCCCCATCATTTTAATAATGATGTCAGTGAAGGTACTGTTACCATCATTAGTTGTCACTGATCATTTGCTACTCAATGATGGAACACAGGTTGTTGGAGTGAAATATTTAGGATTGGAAACTTTTTGCCTTGAACAGGACTTTTACCTTAGATTCTCTCATTTCCTTGGAGATGGGGTTCAAAGTAGGAACCAGATAATGTTCACTGCTGAAAATTCCATAATGTTTTCATTTAAAGGGAAGTCAGGGACTATGAAAGCTGCTTTCACTTTAGTGCTGTCCAGCACTGAGAAAGAAAATGTGGTTTTGATATAGTGAGAAATCAAATTATTGAATTAAATCTATAACAGGTGAAAACCACAATGTACCATCTTTTTTTTTTTTTCCAGTTGAATAAATGGCTTCGTAAAGATAACTTGTTGCTAAGGTAATACATAATGGAAATGGCAATGTAATGGAGTTTTAAGATTTTTAGTATTGGTCAAATATAGTAGCTTTATAATGAAACCTTGAATAGGCGAAAGAATTTCATATAAGTTTATCATTGGTCAGAGTGCTGTTCTGTTGAATTACATTATGCAGCAAACCTTAGGTGCTATTAGAAAGTGGAGAACAGCCTTTCTCATTGAGGGCTTCTGAGGAATTGCTATACCTGATCATTTGTGAATGCTTGATAATCTTTATGGTTTTCTGTATTTCTGTTAAACTCATAGTTAATGCCAGAATCTCTTACCATGAGTAAATATTTGGATTTACTTAAATCTAGTAAAAAGAAGTGAAGATAGGAAGAGGAGAATTTACTTTTAAGTTATTGAAAATATGTGCAATGTTCTCAATATTAGCAAATGTTACTCAGCTCCCTCCCTTTCTTTCTCCCTCCCTCCCCACCTCTTCCTTCCTTCCTTCCTCCCTGGCTTGCTTTCTTTCCTTCCTTCTTTTCCTTCCTTCCCTTCCCTTACCTTACCTTCCTTTCCTTTCCCTTCCCTTCCCTTCCCTTCCCTTCCCTTCCCTTCCCTCCCTCCCTTCCTTCCCCTGGAGTCTTTTCCTACTCTAATTCATCCTTCTGCTTTCTTCCCAGGCCTGCTTCACAGTTGTTCTGGAGAATTCATTTTTATGTCTCCTATGTTGGACCTGCATTTCTTGGGTCCAATCTCTTTCTCTTTCTTGATTTATAAGCTTGTTTTCGAGATCCTTCTTTAAAAACAGTCCATTTTTCTATCCTGGCAGATCTGAAAATATCTTCAATCACACTTTACTGACATTGTATCTGGGTACACGATTCTAGGTTCAAAATAATCTCATTTTTAAATGTGAAGGCGTTTAAAGAATCTTCTGGGTCTGTTACTGCTCTTGAGAAACCTAATGCAGTTTTTATTCTTTTCCTTTTATGTGATCCGCTTTATGTTTCTGGAAGACGTTTCATGTTCTTTTTATTTGGGCTTATAATTTTCAGAATGATATATCTTGGTATATTTAATTAATCAATTGGTTTTAAAAATTCTTCTGTTGGACGTTTAGTGGAAATTTTGATCCCAAAGATTCATGGTCGTAATTTCTGGAATCATTTTTGCACTACTCATTTAATTACTTTTTCAACCCTTTCTGGGTAGAAAGAACTCTTTTCTGGAACTTTCTGGAATTCTCTTTAGTCAGAAAATTTCCCCCTTTTTCTAATTTTTTTATTTCCCTAACTTTTTGTTCTATTTCTCTGAAGATTTTTTTATCAGAATCTTAACGACCCATCTGTCAAATTTTTAAATTTTTGAGTAAATTTTCAACTTTGAGAGTTTTTTTCCTGTCTTGCATATAAATTTCTTTTTAATTCTTTTTCTATAGGAGCAGAATAAAAATATGTGTTCATGTGTTAAACCACAAATTACTCTAGTTTACTTTCTCCAGAAAATAAACTTACACACTCCTGGAGCCTGGGATGAGCAGATGGAGGAACTTATGGTTGGTTGATTGCACGGCAGTGGGGAAGGAAGTTTTGGGTCCAAGCATTCTGTAGACAGAAGTCTAGCCAAGCCCCTGTGTTCACCCTACCACCTGGCCTCCTTCTATGGTGGTATTTCTGCCTCCTAGGTCCAAGCCTCCCAGGCTAAAGCACAGAGAATCATCTTGCTTCTCATCCATAACTCCTCCTACAGGCACGCAGAGGGTAAACTCTTCTCTTCCAAGTCAGTTACAAGCCTCCATCTGATTTATACTCTTCCCACCATCTCTTGCTGTTTGTTTTGTCTTTTGAGGTCTCTTCTTCTATCTGTTTCTATTATTTAATAACATTTAAAAATCCTCTTCTTCTCATGTTAGAGGGGTTTGGGAAGGGGGAGGATGAAGTCTCCTATGTACATACATGTATCTGTTTATTTCAGTGCTCTATTTATTGGTTGATAAACCCATTGACAAATTATGTCTCTTTAATCTGTGCTGCAGAAACTCAGGGTACAGGAAGGCATTTATTTTGACTCTGACGCATGGTGCTGCCCCCTGTTTTCATTGGTTTTGTAGGGTCTTTTATTCTGCTCTACCTTTGGTCAATGTGGCCTTCCTGAGGTGGCCCAGAATCACTTCTCTCCTGTTCTGCCACCGCTCTCCTTGGGACACCTCTTCCCCCAGGGAAGGAAAACTTCCACCACTTTCCAGCAGCTGAGTAGCATCACTGTGTAATGTTAATGCCTCTGAGCCTCAGAACCCAAAGACGGGACTTCCGTGGCAGGTGACACCAGGAGGGCCGTCCACGTGGAAGTGGGCCCTATGAGGCAGCTGGCCCGCTTATCTGGGAGCAGATGAGAAATGTCTGCGTTAGACTTTCTTATTCCAGGTATTTTTCTAGAAAAAGGGAAGCAGCACAGTGTAGTGATCACCCTGAGCCCTGCCTCCGGGGTCAGCAAACCTGATTCCTCGTGATTCTGGGCACGTTGTTGAGACTTTCTCAGTCTCCGACTCTTCTTCCTTAAAGTGGGGACAGTAAAAATAATAGATTCCTTGCCTTTTTCAAAGCAGTGTGATGAACATCAAATGAGATGATCTACGGGCAGGGCTTGAATAATAGCTATTTGGATTAATGTAAACACGTACATGGGGGGAAGAATACAGATTATCACTGATGAGCATAGAAAATCATTTTTTAAATATTTTTTGAGAATCATTTGAAATTAATGTGCTGCCTATGGTAGAATAAGTTCAGAGTTATGTTCTTTCTTTTATTTCTCTCTAGGCCCAGGGACACACGCTTATTGTATACTCAGATGTTGCTAATGGATACAAAACAGATTTGCCATTAATACAGATTCCCAGTACATTTTGAAAATCTACAATTCAAACCTCCTATACTTTCTCCTAGTAGTTCAGAATAATTTTTATTAATTGGACCTTACTTTAGGATAATGAAGTAGATCAGAGCTACCAAAATAACATGTATGGACAACACGTGTGTATATAGAATTTACAGTGCTGGGCACCATTCTATGCACTTTGCTGATGTCAACCCTTTTGCTCACAATAACCCTATCTAGGCATTTTATCATCCCAGTTTTCAAGACAAGAACCTTGAGGCAAAAGAAACAGAACGTCCATATTTTCTAATAGAATAGAGTCTTGTGGGACCCAATACTTTCTTCCATTGTCCTCTTCTTCACTCTTTCACTACCAGGTGTGACATTGGGTTTTGGTTTGGGGCTCTTCCTTCATCTTCTCCACCCACAGCATTCTCAGGGAGATGCTCCCGAGCTGGAAACAGCAGTGCCTCCCAGATGGTCCCGACAGCCCCCTGCCAGAACTGGGTCAAACGATTAAAATTTAAATAGCATCTCATCATTTCCCAACAATGGTTTGGAACATTTAAATGTTCTTCTCCGAGGAATAATTCCATTGTTATTATACATATGCAACCATCAGCCCATAAACTTGGGATGCCGGAGTCAGTCTGAACTGTTCCCTCAAGAGAGCCAGCCAGGATCTGTGTTGTGGACAGAAGGAGCCAGCGTGTCTAGAGCAGGGTCTGCCACGTAGTAGACACTTGATAATTATTTGTTCAGTGCATGTGGACGCTCTAGATTTTCTTTGCTCTCATAGACATGAGCTCTACTTACTACCCTACCGCTCTCTGAAGTGACATTAGGAGGCCAAAAAAATTGGGATGGTGTATACTGCTTAACGCATTCAAATGACCAGGTCCCAACTTTCAAAGCACTAATTTCTTTAGGTCCCCTCTTATTTCCCAGGGCAGTTCCTTGCTCTGCCCGCGGTTCAGGAGACATCCCCTGGGAGGAGAGAACGCAGAGCCTTGAAAACAGCTCGCACAGTGCCCCGGGCTCTTTGAATAAGAGGTTGCAAAAACGACACGGGAAAATAGAGGAATAACAATGAGCTGGCTGCTGGGGCTTACAGCCCCGCAGTGGGGAGGATTTACAGGAGCCCAGCGCCTTTGAGTCACCAGCAAGACTGCCCGAGGTGAGCTCGGCACGTCGGCGTTAGGACGGGGAGACACGCCTTCTTCTCACACAGACCTTCCAGATCCCGGCGGCTCGGCGGCCGACCCGGGGTGGTTCTCCACGTCCTGCCCCTGGCAGTCCCGACGGGCAGGGGCTGGGGACCGATCCCGAGCGGCAGGTGGGGAAACAAGGAGCTGTCCCCGCGAGTGGCGCCCTGTAGAGCAGATCCCGTGCGGTCGCAGGCGTGGGAGCCCCGGAGGCCGGGCTTCGGGAGAGCGGACCGAGACCTCTGAAACCCGACACCAGCGCTCCCGCAGAGGAAACTTCGCAGGCTGGTGAGTCGGGGCAGCCGGGCTGCCGGGGCAGGAATGCGTTCCCGCCCGCTCCGGTGCTCTCAGCCGCGGGCCTGCGAGAAGGAAGTGAGACGTGGACTGGGAGCGGCGGGCCGGGAGGGGGGCGAGCCGAGCCCAGCGGAGCGTGTGCCTGCGGGGGCCGGTGCGGGGCGCGAGCGCGCGCGGCCGCAGCGCTCCCGGGGCACCGCGGTGGGGTCGGCCCCGGAGCCCCGGGAAACCCGGGCGGGCTGTCTTCTGTCTGGGTATTTCCGTAGCCAACAGCTGGTTAGGATCAAACAAACACTACCGCCTCCCCCGCAGAACAAGTCACAGCAATGCCAGCTTCCTTCCGTCTGGATCCCCAAGCAGCTAAAATAATTGATGATGATGATGATGATGATGGTGATGATGTGTTTAGAGAGGGCAAGTATTTGAGTGATCTGAGCCAGCTAAATGACAGGACATTTTTTTTTTTTTCCCGCTTCCTCAGGTGTGGTGGCCACAGAGAAATCAAAAGTAATTTCTGTCTTCCCGTATTTTTGCTCAGTTATTTCCAAACCCTGATCCTCGCATGGCAGCTGCTAGGGCGTTTGCATGGGTGTTTGTTCACGTGGCCACCGTACCTTAGCTTCCAAGAGCTTCCCACCCAATACAACATAATTTAATTATTCGAAAAATACTGAGGCAGGTGACTGGCGAAAGCTGCAGACTGTCTTACGAGGGAAGAGCCATGTTTGGTTAAAGTCACCACCCCTGTATCATGCTTACTGGCTTTTTTTTTCAAAATCTAAAATTAAGGATATAAGGTTCCGGTTGATTAAATGGTACATTACCAAATTAAGTCCAAATTAATAAATGTGGTTCCAGAGTTATTAACAACAAAATCATTATTTAACATAACAGTATCCATGAATTTTGATATGTTTCTATTTTTTTAAATGTGTACTCTTCTTAATATTTAGTTACAGTCATGCATACTCAGTGATGTTATTAATAAATATACATATTTATATGCATGGTTGTATAGTTCTAAATTTGAGAAGTTAACAGAAAAGATGGACTTTGGCATTACAGACTTAGGCATTTAAGTT